AATTTCATCTTTCAATTTTTTCCCACAAATTTTCAAAAATTTCCCGTTTTTTTCACCCAGTTACCCAACGTCGTGGGGTAACTGGACTACCCCCCCTTAATTTTTGAGGGGGGGCATTATTTTTAATTCTCATTGGCCAGAAGGTAATGTCCTGCTCATGAAGGTTTAAGAAAATGTCATTTGAATGTATATAAACATGTTTAAGTGGTTAAGAATGATGTCGTAACAGTTAGCGGCAAAAAAACTCTCAAATCTGAGAATTGAATAACGGTAAAAAAAAAAATTGTTTCCTTGTAGATAAATGCTTAGAACTTTCTGTATTACTACTTATAAAGTATATTGTATACCAGGACACTGTTTGGCCACTTTTAGTGAGATTAAGCATGATACATTTTTAAAAAATGGAAAAAAATTAAGCCGCAAGGCTGATCTGGGATACAGTCAGGCGCCAAAAAGTTCCCTTAATTTTTAAGGGGGGCATTATTTGTAATTCTCATTGGCCAGAAAAGAATGTCCTTCTCATGAGGGTTTCAGAGAATTTCATTTGAATTTATATAACCATGTTTAAGTCGTTAAAAGTGATGTCGTAACAGTTAGCGGCAAAAATGTAATTAAGTAATGCTTAAGTTATGCTATAATTGACTTAAGTTAGAAGTTTAGTGTGCTGGGAACCCTGATTATTGGTCTTTGGCACTTAAAAGTCCACAATAGTCAATTAGTTTTGACATTTTCAGAAGTAAACAAACACCGAAGCACAGCAACCTTGCAATGGGTAACTGGGCAGGTGCCACCACTGCCACCTGCCCAGTTACCTTGGGGTGGGTGCCCAGTTACCCCAAAAAGGGAAAATTTTCAAGGTAACTGGGCATCAACCCTTTGCAGCCAGTATTTTCATCCAATTACGTTGTAATTACTCACGCATTACACAAATACATCATACATGAAGAAGAATTGTCAAAGTTGAATAAAATACTTGCTGGGAGTGAGATATGAGGCTCTTTTCGGGACCACCTCCGGCGTTGTTTTGAAAAAAAAGCCGTCCAATTTTCGGCACTTCACCATTCACCATAAATTTTTTTTTTGAAGTTATGTTTACATGTTCTAGATGGTTTACGTCATAATGAAGGTATGCCAACAGTGAAAACAATTTTTGCACTAATCTGGTAGAAATACAGAGGGTACTGCCCAGTTACCCCACCGCCCAGTTACCCAACCTCACCTCACATATACCTACTCAGAATACTGCATTGTAGAAATGCCCTTCCATAGTAACACATCACCTTGTAGAATAAGTAATTCGAAAAAAGTGTAAAACTGGTACCCACTTATTCCTCACAGGAAAGCTGTATATCGACGGCGTGCGGCAGGCGTAAGTCCGTGATCGCACGTATCTCGTTTGCGGTGTCTGAATACCTATCTCCGCCTCCATATTATTTTTTAAAGGAGAACAAAATGACATCATTCCTTGAAGTTTTTGCAGAATTTTCTTCGCACGGATATGAAAAATCTCGGCAGTTTTAAAGAATTGCCGTCGAGTAGTTTTTTGTTTAAAAAATAAAGTATGACAGGAAGTCTGCGACGTCCTAAACCGAGTTATGTGATTGCCGACTTACACACACCGTCGCATACCTCCTAGGAAGCCAAATTCTTGTAAGTACCTACATATTGATTTGACTTAACTATCCGAATCCGGAGAATAGAGGTGCCTCAAAAACAGTGGCGGATCCCCGCAGAAATAAATACCCAGTCCATGCACTAGAATAATAATTACGCTAAAAGAGGTACCTACCCCGCCTCCTTTGAGGACCCTGAGGACCTTTGTTGAAGTTGAAAATCGACAAATGATATTATTCTTCAAATTTGAAATAATGCATACAAATGTTATCTTAGGCCCGCTACATTCCATCTCGGGCCCTGGTACCAGTCTTAAGGCCCCAAACACCGGGGGGGGGGGGGGGGTGGTCCGAGGGGCATCCCCCGAGAAATTTTTGAATTTATAAATCAATTCGGACGCATTTTGAAGCTTCCATAACGAAATTTTCCATCAATTTCTGCGGAATAATTACACTTTTTTTCTACTTTCAGCAAAAATTACTTGCGAATTCTTGCATTCAAAACATATGGAAAATTTTTATTTTTCTGAGGGGGGCATATGATAGATACTATTTTCAAAGCTAAGGGGGCCAGGCCCCCCTGGACTCCCCCTTCGTTTGTCTATGGCAAGGGAGTTGAGCCATGAGCCATTGAAGTCGAGGATGCCCAGACTGGAGACTCTGAGCATCTATGACGACGGGAGAAAATGAAACGCAGTTACTAAAAATATCCTTTTGTACTGAAAATCTTGAAAATAGATAGAAATTTTCCAAGAGGTATACTTCTTTAAAAATTTAATAAGAATTCTACAGTGCCCCAGTGTGTTTTTGAAAATTTGTTCACCTTTTGCGAAATTTTTTAGGGTAAATTTTTCACTTTTTCTTACGAAACAAGGGTTGCACTTGCATGTGAATTCGTAGTGGTTTTGCACGGGCCCCCTCCGGGGCCCGGGCCCCGGTACCAGGGACCCAGTATCCCCCCCCCCTTGTGGCGGGCCTGTCTATGCTAAAACTGTTCATAATTCAATTCGAAAGGGGCAATTTTGTTTGTTTTCAAAATTGTCCGGGCAAACGTAAGCATTTGCTTAGTCGGACGGGGTGCCAAATGACCCCTGGACAAAATGGCCCAAATGGTATCGACTCACTTTGGATCTGCCACTGCTCAGAAGCTCTCTTCAAAAATACAACTTTGATCTACCTACTACCTACTTGTAGAGTAACTAGGTACTCGCTGACTCATAAAATAGGTATAGTATTAGGCCTTGTCTCCCGGGGACGTTTTCATGGGATTTATCCCAAAGTTCGAATCGCAGGAATGAAACTCCTGGAATTTTTCCCTGTTACTACCCCCAAGTAGCAGTGATCGCGATAAATTGCGATTTAATTGGAGAATGTATCGCGATTTTATCGACGTCGCGATTTATTGCAATATTATCGGGAGAAAAATCGCGATAAATTGCAACAAAATCGCGATATTATCGAACGCGATTTTATAGAGATAAAATTGCAATAAATTGCAATTTTTCATTAACGCATGAATGACGCATATGAAAGATGTTTCTATTCCGCCGCCGCCGTTTTTACCGAGATCCGTTGGTAACTTAACCATCTCATTTTTTTTTATCAATTATTAGTATAATGTTACAAAGACAGACTGGTAAGCTTACCTGAAAACCGGTATTTTTACTGATTTTTTCAGGTAAGAATACCACTTTTATTGGTAATCAATCCCCGGTAACTTTACCATTTTATCTCGGTAATTCTACCACAGTCGATAAAAACTATTGGCGTTTTTCCCAAGGTCCATCGGTAACTTTGCCATCTCACTATTATTGGTAATTTTACAGAGACAGAATGATGAGATTACCAATAGAACCTTATTTTACCAACCGTATTTCAAGGTATGAAATAAAATACAGAGGAGGGAAAATTAAAAAAAAAAAAAATCCAATGAAAAATCGGTGTCAGTCAACGCAAAGACATAAGTTGTGAGGTTGCGAAGCGCCGATCCATGTATAAGAGGCTTCAATTCGCACACGCAAGTCATATAGCGGTCATAGCATAGTGACAATGTGCTGGCCTTCCACCGTAGCGATTGGGGTTCGAATCCCCGCGGAGGCTCCGGGGATTTTACGCTCGTCTTCGTCAAAGGACCTGACGGCTGAACCTAACGGCAATCGGCTGACAACTTTAACCCCTTTTTTTTGGCGATTTTATCAATCGCTAGGATCATCAACATCTGAGCGATCATCCTCGATCTTATCGCGATAAAATCGCAATTTTTTCGGGCCGATAAAATCGCAATAAAATCGCGAAAAGATCGAGGATAATCGCTCAAATGTTGATGATCCTAGCGATTTTATCGCCGATAAAATCGAGGATAATCGCGACTTTATCGGCGATAAAATCGCGATTTTTCCGTTGAAAAATGCTACTTGGGCCGTCTCCACGGGACGAGGCTCATTACAGTCCTGCGACTTGTTTGCGCGGGAAGATAAATTAGTAAAAATCGAGTGTTAAACCGGGATTAAAATAATAATTGAACGGTATTGACAAGTAGACCCATTATTTTAACTAAACAAACATGAACGGAGGAGTAACCAACAAAATATCATATAATTCGCTTTCACTTCTTCTTCCTCTCTTAGTTGGTCCTAGGGGTATAAGGACCATACCTATCTGTACCTACTAGGAAAAATATTGATCAACTCAATACTTCTCCCAACTTTGGAAGTGAGATTTTTCCCTTGGACAAATCCCTTGAAGGCGAAACGTTCCGTGGGGACAAAGACGTTACCTAAGAACAGAATTCGAAAAGTGACTCGAGCAGGAAATACAAGCAGCAATTTTTCCTGGAAAAAAGCGCTACTATAAATTATAGAGAACAGAGATAACTATCGATAATATATCGTTAAAATGAAAAATAACCGGAAAATACCCATGGAGTGAGCGAGGAGCACATTCAAACTCTATAAATGCTAAAATGAGTAAAATTTTCAAAGAAGAGCGGTTCAGAATGCATCCGTGTAGATAGGATAGATAATACAGAATGGGGTTGTGAATAGAAAAGAGCGAATAACAAGGCGGCGCGGCGGCTGAGATCGGGTGTTTTTTAACCTTCTGCGTTGGCTGTTGGGAGCCTGGGAGTGGAGAGCGAAACAGGCTAACGTAGGGAGATATGCATTAGAACGTCGCTTGGCCCTGCTGCGTTGGCTTGGGCATGGGTGTTCTCAGTAATATCGAAGTCCAAGTCCCCCTTTATGCCAGCATAAAACGAAGCCAGCAGAGAACGGCGGATAGTGGCATAGCACGGAGCGAACGAGTGGGTCTCAGCGGGTCGGAAGAGGGAAAAAGAGGTCATTTTATATGTGCTTGCTTTCCACTCGTTGGAAATCCCCACCACCAGCGCATTCAACCTTCTCGCTCCGCTCTCGGCGCTGTCGAGGGGGTATCTCTCAGCCAGCGCTCCAACTTCAACTCCCGAACACACTGCATGAAGCAATACGTGACTGTGTACTTAGGACGGGGCTCCTTACTTTCAGTGACAGAACGCTTAAATTTCAGTGCCCGCGGTGCAAGTTTCTGTGATTTCGTTCGCCCTACGTTTAGATATTTTATCCTCCTTTAAACTATGATTATTTCTCTTCTCTCCTTTTCGAATTTAATGATTTAAACTGAGTTGTTTCACAATGGCTTCCGTTAAAGACACTGCTACGTTTTTCGTTGAAGGTTCCGCTAAACAGTTCGAGCATGTATTGAAATTATATCCTCAAGCGCTGAGGTTGAAGGCTGAAAGAAGAAATAAGAAACCCGAGGAACTTATTAAGTTGGACAATTGGTGAGTACTTCTTGTGAAATTATTCGTTATTCTTGATTAATGTCAATGAACCTTGGATTTCATTATATCATTCCCTGCAGATCCGACCACTCAATTAGGAATGTTTCCCTGATACTGTCAGATCCTGAGCGCGGCCGCGGACTCAAAAATGCCAAACATGTGTCACGTGGGATCTTAGTGTCATTTGCAGCTCGCATTTTCTTAGTCTCTCACCAATTTCTCACTTTTCTACGTGATAGTTACGATGGTGTCGTCATAATTCTAGGTGACGTTTGCCTTGATAGATTAGCCTACTTAGATAATTCCTGTTAATTTAAATTTTCGCCCATTATGTCTTTATCAGGGTGCCTTTAAAGTTGGCAAAGACTATAATTGCCCAATTTTCAATCCCTATTTTACAATTGATTTTGCCAAGTTCAGGAAGCTATTTCATAACCTTGTTCAAGTTACAAGATGGAGTCAGAACAAAGACTCAGCCTTTATACCGCTGAGGAAATTATTCCTTCCTCTCCTAGTGGTGTTTCAGCTCCAGCTTTAAGTACACTCTTCTGTCTTAAGCACCCACTGTAAGATTACTTATTTTAAGTTCCAACCTTCATTACTATAGAGTTTAAGTAAATGGACCATGACCAGATTTCGCAAGGCTAGGTTCGCCGGGCAGCCGTTTAGCCTGGTCGTGGAAGATGGTGCTACTTTCTGCATCATTTATTCATTTTATTTTCAACGTTTACTTACTTGAATATTAGTTTAGCTTTCTACCGCAATTTTCTCTTTCAGTTAACGCTATTATGTTTATGATAGTTTTGCTTCTTACTTAATAGAGATTAAATAACTGCTTTGGTGTGGCTGTCTTAAATACGGTTAATGTTGGAGCAGCATCAACATTATGCTGACAGACGCTCTCCATAACTTAAGAGTCAAAACTTTTTCATACAATTTTGGAATTTTATTGATTTCTTCAAGAAAGTCTGTCTGTAGTCTTCAATTTTGACCTTGGCAGAATACATTAGCATCATCGTACTTAAAGTACATTTGTTTTCGTGAAAGTGGACTTTTTTGTGTTTACATTCGTTATTTAAGTACTTAGATCTTGTAATTGATTATGCAAGAATATTGGTAAAAGATTAAATTACTGGATGGGAAGAGGGGATGAGGAAACAGTAAGGGTGTATCGTATTAGCTTATTCTCAAGAGGCAGGATGGAGAGCCACGTTTAGAGGATGTTGTATTCATAACCTATCGAGAAAGACTGTGCTATTGTTTTGAAAAGTGTTCTCGTTCATAGCTTAAGGTCATAGTGCCACTACAGCCCCTCACCTCCCAAAATTTTAATACTGGTACTTAAATTTGTGATCAATTTGTTTCACTGAGGAGTATTATTAGCCATGCTATTACCCTTCTTTCCAAGATATCTGGTGGTTAGAAAAACCGAAGGAGTCAAAATATATGGCAATCTGGAAAAGTCAGAGAATTTTGAAGGTCCTCTCCTAGGCTCAATAACTTCAACTGTTGCCATCTGAGAGAGCATAAACAACCTTTGGAATGCCTTTTTCCCTAATTTGAATCTCAAAAAGAGGGAAATTTTTTCTTACTTAAGATTAATGCAAGCCAGCGCAATCAAAATAAAATTTTAATGAGAGTTTTGTTTGAAGGCTAAGAGGTGTCCTGCTTACAAGTGTATTCCAATGTTGTACTTACTTACTGTATTGAGATTTTTTCACTTTTTCTTTGTTCGCGGAATCAATTATAGCGAGTGAGACAATTCTGAAATTTTTGAGTTTGAGAATGGAAAATGAAGAAATTTGGAAAATCCTGCTTTCGTTCCCAGCCGCACGCTTTTGTTTCAGAAGGGTCTTTTTCGTAACCTCCTTCCCCATCCCCAAATAATGGGCAGTTTTGTGGTATTTCGAACCCACCTCTCCCTCTCGTACCTGTCTTTAAAGGTCTTGGTCAGGTGATGCCAGACTCAGGAGTAAAAAACATCGACTTTCGAATTCCACAATTTTATAAATTTTTGTGAGTTCTCGTAGCAATAGAAACTCACATACTTAAATAAAAGAAGTGAAATATTGAAGGCTTTGAAAGTGAATGGGAGTCATGAGTCATCTCTTTCTCGCCTCTGAGAAGGTACAAAAGAAGACCAAAATCATATCATGAAATATATGTTACGGTATCTTACTTATTCTGCATGAAAAGAGTCTTTCAAAATTAATGGCTACATTTTTGCGTTGTTGCCAAGCTACAAAATATCGGCAAAAATCGCTGAGAAGTTGAGAATCGTGTTTTTCTACCTTGGTAAGGGCTCCACAGGGGCACGAAAACATCCCCCAGCAAAATATCTTCTACACTATTTACAACCGCTCTAATCAGATTTCATAAATTGGACCCAGGTTTTTTTTTATATTAGAGTAGGTAGGTCTTAGGAAGGGGGCAAAATTCGAAATTCCCGCTAATGATAAATGGTGGGAATTTCAAATTTACCGGAAAATTGAACAAAGCGGAAAGAGTTGAATCTTGGTCTGTTGAATCCGGTGATTCGTCAAGCCTAAGTGACGTTGTCGAACCGGCATGCGATATATCGCATCTTTTCGGTCAAAAATCTCGACAGATTTTGAATTTTCAGCAAACAAAAGGATGATAGCCCCTGCGCATGAGTCTAAAGAATCATTCTGAACCCACAAATCGGCAAAATTCAGAGAAATGAAAGCAGGATAGTGTTTGGGAAAAAACCTCGCATTCGATTCAGCTATCGATTTCTGTATCAAATGCGAGGTTTTGATCCAAACACTATCCTGCTTTCATTTCTCTGAATTTTGCCGATTTGTGGGTTCAGAATGATTCTTTAGACTCATGCGCAGGGGCTATCGTCCTTTTTTTTTGCTGAAAATTCAAAATCTGTCGAGATTTTTGACCTATAAGATGCGATAATCGCATGCCAGTTCGACCACGTCACTTGAGCCTGACGAATCACCTTGAGGTCATATGGGGGCACACATAATATGTTGATCCAAAAACTAATTAGCATACCTACCCTAAAAGACTACTAATAGTGAGTCAATACTCGTAAAAGGAGGGCTCTAGCTGATTTCTAGAATACTGAAACAGTGCGATGGAATTGGGAAAACAGCTTGAATCAAGTGATTTTTTTCCGCACCCGAGACATTTTTTTCCCCAAGAATGCTGTAGCATACTTAAGTACGATACCTAGGCGCAACTTTTCCCCCCTGAACAATTTTGAAATTCGAAAGTTGATGTTTTTTCGNCCCCCCCCCCCCCAAATCTACTTCCAGTACTTGCCGGCTGTGTGTGGCCTCTTGGCAATTTTTATTTATTGTTATTTACCTTGTGTTATGAGGGTGAATTAGTATTTTCACAAGTTTCCTTCCCCACCATTATGTAAAGGGCAACCTGGTAAATCAAGGACGCAAGTAAGGGTACTTACGTAGCCCGGTGATGGTATGCATTTTGACCACGCCGTCATCAGCGTATCGAGCAGTCCACAAATTACGTAAGGCACTTTTTCCTCTTTTTGACCCCCCTCCTCCCCTAAATAATTACGTAAGGCTGGCCAGAAACCCCCCTTCTATCGTTTTAATGCATAATTTGATGAAAAAATGGTGTTGAAACAAATCGGTATTGTTTTATACATTACTTACTAATCGCTGGTAGGAGATCATAAAGGATCATAACAGGTGTATTGAAAGAATAACCTGTTTTTAAATTCAAAAAGTTCAGAAAAAATTACATTTTAACAGAAAAACATTAAACGTCTAAAAAAACGAAATTTGGACCGGTCAGTCTTTAAATTAACATAATTTCGGCCAGGCCAGTGTACAAAAGTTTTTTCCCCTCGATTATAAGCGTTGGCTTACATAAGGCTTAGCCCCCCCCCCCCCCCCTCTAAGTGCCTTACGTAATTTGTGGACGGCCCCTATGTACCTACTTTATGAATTGACCCCTTGTCACAGTGAGTCCAATATCCCGTTAAATCTATATTTCAAAGCGTGTTTTTTGGTAGTGATGACTAAGCAGTAGTAGTGACAGTGGGAAAATATCCTTTGAGCTTGGAAAGGGGATCTTCGTCAGTTTGTTTATATTTCAGTAGAGGCATGACGTGTTCCCACGTGGCCAGAAAGGGGTGTCACTTGCGGACGTCATGGCTACTCTAAAACATCTCTGAAATGTCTTTTATCGGACACGTAAAGGAGCTTTAACCCAGGCAGTTAGCCTTCATTTTTCAGTACAGGCAACGCGAGTTTCCCCATGTGTGACGTGGCCCGACAGGGATATCATTGAATACGTCTGCATCATTTTTTTTCTTCATCTTTCTAATAAATCTGAAGTAACCTTGTAGATGTCTTTAAATTTTGGAGCCAAAAGTATGAGGTGCCAGGCTAGATCGATTCACTGCAGTTCATGTGACTCTCTTTGATAATGGATTCGTAGCGCAGTTTTTGGTAGTGATTACCGAGTAGCCAGTAGCGACGGTAGACGTGAAATCTCATGATCAAAGCAATGATCCTCATTGCTTTTGGTCTTAGTATTAGGTACTTTAACCCATTTCAGTCGGGCAATCAAGTCGAGCGTCACTTATATTTCTAAGTGAACTATGGTTCTGAAGGTTGAGTGGTGAGATCGGAGTGTTGAGTGCCCTCTTCTTAAAATTTTTGGATACTTTAGTATCGAGTGTTTTAATCAGCCCCTCGGCTTCTTAGCAATACATTTTACGCATTTTTCGAGCACTGGGGAAAGAAAAGAATGGACAATTGTCACATCAACCTGAATGCATCAATCATCAGTTGGCCCATTTGTTAGCACTTAATGCTGTGTTAAATGGTGCCATTTTCCGATGTAATTGTAAAATTTGTCTATTTTTTTCCAGTTCTAGGAGTAAACCGTCCTTTCATTGCCCTGGCACTTGAAGAGAGAGAGAGAGAGAGAGAGAGTTTTTGTATAGTGAAGTGGTTTATCTTGAAATACATAGGTTCGTCTCTGCTGCC